TTTAGCATCCAAGAGAGCAGCCCCAGTCCCAGACATTTTACAAGTACACATTATCTAAAACACTCTGCTTTGTTTACCTGATAAGCTTACCTGTCCAGGCTCTAACAGTGGCTCCATTAGCTCTACCCCCTCTGCATAGACTTGAATTAGTGCAAGTAAATCCCTGGATTTGACAGCCTCAAGTAATTCACTCAGTTTAGCTGCTGCAGATGCACAAGTCTTCCTAGAGAACTTATGATCTACATATTTAGCAGTGATAAATTCTTTACGTGCAGTCCTGTGGGGTGTGAAAATAGAGCTTGGTTTAGAAATACTTAGAAAAATGGGTCAATGACTTAAATTTAAATTCATCTTGCCTAATTCAGGACCTGAGAATTGAAGAAGAAAACTATTGATAAAGACCGTATTATTTCTTATTATCATGCATGTCTTTCTTGCAAACAAGCCCAAAACAAGGTATGTACTCAATTTTATCCTTCCTTCTTGTTACATACAAAAATTACTCTGACTCTGAGGACTAAGACCAAAGAAAAAACAAAGCCTGAAATATGATTTCTCATGGAAATGTATCTACCTGTTAAAAAAAGATAAGCATGAATAAGATGCTAAAAATAGGACTAAAAAAGACAACTGAGTAACAGATTGAAAGGCCTTCTGTGGCAAAACCACATCTATTCTGCTCTCTGTGCAACTCCAACACCAGGGAAAGGAAGAAAAAGCTCATGTCCCTCTCAAGACAGTCCCTGAAGCTAGTATCCTTTAGTCCCATTGTCTATCACCTGAGGGTATCCTACAAAACTCAAAAGCTTTCAAGATTCAAAATAATGAATCTTGAAACCCAAACTTAAAAGTTTTCCACACCAAGAAGCTGTGGTCACAAAAATGTGACCACATGACAAGAAAGAAACCCCTCAGGTGGAGTGAAAAATCCCAGTCTTCTGCTGTCCCAGTCCCCCTCTGGCTTGGTTACTGTTTAAGACATTTTAGATCATGTATATATTCCACAGCAAACAATGTTAAAGAATTTAAAGATTCCAGACTTACATATCACTTGATGGAGTGGGTTTAGGTGAAGGACTAGGTAAATTCCCTTCCATAATATCATTAAAACTAGTATTTCCTACATTCTTGGCCAGCTGCAATAAGAAAAACAAAATAAAATATACCACAACCTGGACTATTAATGTGCATTTCCACACTACTGATAAAAGATGGAACACACAGAATTGTAAAAATCAAAGCACAATGATTACACTTAAACATAAAAGAATTAAAAAGTATTTTTAAGTGTGAATCCCATCATCCCAGTTCTTGCTCAATAGGCTTCACAGCCACTGCTTATCAGTTGTATTTGAAGACAATCTGCCTCCAGTATAAGAACAGAATGAGGAACTAGCAGCATCAACACTGAATTTTAGTAAACTAATCAGGAAGTTATTTTTGGAAAGGAGCTCAGGCCTACTGCAAAGTCACACTTAACAAAATTAGATTTAAATGACTAACTTTGAAGACAACTCAGGATTTCAAAAGTACTTCTAATGCTAATGTTAAACCAGACACAAATCCAGAACCGCCTTCTCTCAAGTTTCCCATACAAAATTTCTGTGACAAGTGTCTTCTCACACACCAGGCACAGCTGAGGAGATAAACCTGCTGTAACTGTGTTTTTTCTTTCTTTGTTTCTTGTTTCGTGTTTCTTTGGGTTTGGTTTTGCTTTAGTTTTAGTAGCCACATCAAATTCCTTGAGTAACTTTAATGTTACAGGGTTTCTCCCATCAAATTAAAAGATTAACTCACCATTCTTCTGTCGAAATTAGCAATGGTCATTCTCACTTGTCAAGTGAAATTAGCTTTCATTTTCTTTAATTACATGAGATTTTGTGCTGCCCTGATTTAGGGTCAAGATCAGCTAATGAGAGGCAAAATTCTGATGGCACTAATGTCAATATTCATTTTGCAAAACCAGAAAGTAACATGTGACAGATGGTCAAAAGCATCAATAACACGTAATAGTAAAAACCCTCCTGTAAGATAGATACAAACAACATTCTGCAAAGACAACATTCTGCAAAGCCCCTTATCTTGAAGAAATTTAACAGTAAATTATATACCTGAATGATACCTGAGTGATACCTACATACAGAACATCTGACCTGAAAAGAAAAAGAATCCAAATTAAAGGAACTTACCAAGAGTTCAGACGTTCCTAATTTGTCTAATTCCAAAGACTGGATTCGAGAAATATGGACACCCATTTCTCTGTGTATTCCAGAACACTCAATGCAGGTTAAAATGCCCAAGTTAGTTGATAGCCATGTCGGATCTGCAGAATTGAAAACCAAAGTATTTAATCCAAGTCCAAGAAAAGGTTTTCAATGGTGGTAAGAAATCCCAATGAATTTGAAATGATTCCTTATTTAACGCTTTAATAAATGGAAATTAACTAAAAATATTCCATATTTTTCTCCAAACCGCAGTGCAAATTTAACCACAAATTGCTGCCAATGGAATTAAGTTTTTCAGATTTAAGGACAGTCCCAAAGGCACTAAATTTAGACTTACAAATCCATACTGAATGACTGTATTTGAATACGTTTAGAATTTGTTTCTTCTAGAAACTCAGGCTTTTCTTTCCTGTTTTTAAAAGAACAGATCTCCTAAATTCCACTGTTGGCAACAAAGTTTTAATCTTTACTTCTTACATTTTAAATAGTTTTTCTTCATAAAAGATTAACTATAGCATTTTCCAATATGTGAAATAGTAATATGTTGTAGAACATTTAAGTAATGCTGGCTAGTCCAGGACAAAAAAAATACTGCTGTCATGTAGGAGATCTGTTTGTAATATGAGATCTTACACTATGAATGCTACATAAGAAGCAAGACCAGTTTTTAAGGAAAAGAAAAAACTCCAGACATGTTTCATACACATACCTATTTTCAAATTATTCTCTTCTTTTATCTTAAATAGTAACAGACAAAGCAAGAGTTTCAAAGCAGCAAGCTGGGGTGCAGGACTGAAGCTTAAAGCTTCATTATAAATTAAAAGATGAGTAAGAACTGTAATCCTAAATTTCTGTAGCCTTACATCATGGAATAATTGAATGAACCAATTCCAGAATTATATTCCACTTTGTAATTTTTATCTAGGTATTTATTTGGATCAGTTCTGTGTAAGTATGTATCCTGTAGCTGCTACCTACTCAGTTCCAAAGGAACGTTACCTTCCCTTTAGATGTGAAAGCTGTAGCAGCTGCCAACTACCGTATCAATTCAGTAGTATGACAATTTGACTCCTTTCAAGCTTTAAGTGGCATGTAACTGACCTGTATCTCTGTACTTCTGAAGATATTATCCGATAGGATTCCAACTCTGGGTCTCATTCTTTGCACAAGACCGAATATTTTTGATACTGCAGTTCCAGCAGTCTCATGCCAAGATAAAACCTCAGAGTAAGATCCTGGCCAGGTCAATTTTTCCACAATCATTGTCTATGCATTACTCACTTCTACTTAGTAGCATGCACAGGATCAGTGATGCCAAGCAACTTCCATTCAAGTGCAACAAGCATCTAGAGACAGTGCAACAAGAACAGTTCAAACTCCAGAGGGGCTTGAACTGCTGGAAGTAAGCACAGACAACACACAAAAATATTTTAGTGAATTAAATGGAACTAACGTATGAAAGTTGTATTTGTTCTTTTAAAAACAGGTTGAAGACTGATCTACACATCACTTCGAAAATTAGTTTGCACTCTACAAACACTCCTTTAAAAGAAATTAATTTGCTTCAAACAAGAAGTTGATGACATTAACAAATTGAGATACCTGGTGAGCCACAATCACAACAGACTTCATTTCCGGGTAATCTCTGTATGTCATCAATAATGGCTTTTGTCAGATCCTCTAAACTGTTCTCCCCTGTGCTCTGCTCTCCACGGAATGCCATATTTAATGCTTCTTCTTTGCTGTTAGTCAATACTGATATCCATCTAGCACAAGATAAAGACCTTAATGAAGATCTGCATTTGCAAATACAAGTTAATCTATAAACCACAGAAAGTTTGCCAGGAACAAAATATTAGTGGGAATATAGGGAAGGATTGTACTGTGTGAGAGACTGAGTGGGGGGAAAATGAGAGGTGGAAAGGAAAGATTTGAGAAAAAGTAAGAATGAGAAAAGGCAAAGAGAAAAAAGTCTTAATTCTAAAGTCCCTTTGGTGAACAATTTAAATCCAAAGCAGCACAGTTCTCAAGTTCCTCAAATAAGCAGAAGCTGTGGAAGAGAAAGGGTGACATTAAGCTCCTGTAAATTTAACTGCTTTAAAAGTAGATGCCCGAGATCTTCCTGAAATCTATCCCATTATTGAAGGAGAAAATTGCAACCACCACTTTCTCCAGCGTGCACCTCTCTTCAGAGAGGAAGCAGCAAGCACATTTTTAATGTGCTGATGGCTAGTTGCCTTTCAAAGTGCAGGTCTCAGCGCACTCAGAGTCAGACTGTAATGACCAAGTTAATGAAAACTGCCATGGCAACAAATGGGTAATGAAGGGAACATGACGAAGGAGTAACAATACTGAGAGCCAACAGCAAATTGTAAGAGCAACTGTTGACTGCAGCAAATCAAGACTCGTTCATGACATTTCAGGCAATGGCTCCCCCTGTCCCCAACCACTCTGCAAGGTTTTGTTTATACAATAATGCAGTAATTGAAAATGAACCAAAAAAGTCCCTCTCAGGGGCTGCTGCCCTCCTGGTGGAAGAGGGGAAAGCAGTGACACTAAGGACAAGCAAGCTGCAGATGCAGTGTTGCCTTAGAAAAAGAGCAAGTTAAAAAAAGAAATCCCCCCCAGGTACAGTGATTTCAGATGGGTTCAGATCTACTGCAAACACACATTTTTTACATAGGAATATGTTAAATTGGCAATGTCCTCACTTTTTCTGTTTACAATATCCCCATTATCTGCACCAATCTGCTAAAAAGGGCTAAAATGGCTTTGGTCATCTAAAACTGAAAGGACTTCAGACTGAAATTCATAATTTCTCATTGAAATAATAATGCAAAGACAAACTTCAGAGAGAAATTCATATATACAATCTTGCAGATTCAGAGCTTGAACTGGTATATAGGCGCTGTATATAACAACTTCATATGCATACATTTTGTAAATTTCATAGGCAGAGAACAATCTGGGAAGTTGGATTCACAAGAAAATGCTTAAAATACTAAAAACCCATCAACCTTAAAAATAAAAATTGAAAAAATTAAAAACAAATCTGCCCCATAGTTTATATGCCAGAAAACAATGTATTGACATTATGTCTCTCTAGTTATATAACATCCAAGAACCCGCACTAGATGGCATTCTTCTGCAATTTTTCTGACGACATCCGATGTTAAAAAGCTCAGAGGCAGCAGTGTCTTGCTTCTAATATTAATGTTTGGTTAAACAAACAGCATAAAATAATCATTAAACTCAGACAGACAACATTTATTCCAACATTTGTTGACAATTTCTTTCGGGGTTACAGTTTGATTAGTTTGTTAAAGAGGCAGAATTTGACTAAAACTCAACTATGCAGTAACAATCAAAAATATATTAGAAGCCATTAAAATAAACACAACATGACTGAGCCAGCTGTTAGTATGATACAGATTCCCATATTATGGGTTTCTAAACTGTAAGAGCAGCAACATTTTGGTAGTGTTTCCTCAGCCAGAGAGCATTGGTGCCAACGGTAGGACAGGCAAAGCAAGAGGCGTTGCGGTGTCAGCTCACCCCAGACAGAGGCAGCAAGGCCCATTGAACACAAGCACTGTAACAGACACACTCTAATGACTGGTGTTATTAACACAAGTCCCCAGTTGGTCACCTCCTGGCAGGCTTTACACACAAACCAAACGATTCAAATCAGTAAATACATTAACTCAATGTCAATAGTTTTTATAGACTGCTTTACGGCTGCTGCTGTTCTTTTTTTTATGTGTACAAGTCTCCTTTTTCCTTCCTTTTTTAAAAAAGGTATTTGCTTTATTTCACACCACCACCAGTGTCAAGGTAACAGTCAAAAAGCTTCTGGTAATACCAAGGCCAAGTTGGATGGGGCCTTGAGCAACCTGCCCTAGTGGAAGGTGTCCCTGTCCATGGTAGGGGGGTGGAACTAGATGATCTTTAAGGTCCCTTCCAACCCAAACCATTCCGTGATTCTATGAATACTCTGTAGTGTTCTTCAAATAGTTTAAAATTTACTCAAGTCTTACAGAATCCCTTTGTCTTCTATCTAATACAGTAAAACAGGTTGTCCAACCTGTTACTACGCTTCTCTTTCTGGATCTCTGCAGTCTTATGATCCTTTAAGGCATTCTGTTTGCTGGAGATTCCTGGTGTGGAAGAAAACCATGAGGCTAAACAAAAATCTAGCATCATGGGTGACTTCTGGATCCAATGAAGGAGACAGAAGCATTCATTAGTTTTGGGTGGATTAGTCCAGTATTTCTATGCCAATAAAAGCTCCTCATTTCCCTCCCCACCAAGACAACAATCAGTCTAATAGTTATTTTAGTTTGCAGTACAAAACTATGTCTCTTCTGACAATCTCTACTGCAACATTGTTATTTCCAGGTAAATGCATAAACAGAACAGGAATAGCATAATATTTTTCAAATATTCAGAAACACCTTTCTTTGTATGGAAGAAGCAACAGACAGTATCAAAACCTTCCCATTCCTTCGGTATTCCCAAAGCAAAAAACGTCTGAAGACTGTTGCTAAACACTGTACTGAAGTGAGATGTGTTTCTTCATAGCAGGAATTTGGAATACCTTTGTTTATATTCCAGGCATTTCCTACATATATCAAGATACTCTTGGGCTTCAAAAAGAGAGTAGAAAAGAACCAAAAGGTTTTGTCTGGAGCATGTTTTGCCCTATGCACAATTATCAAATATCCCATATCAAATATCCAATTATCAAAAAGTAGAAAGCATCTATTATTGCATATGTTAAAAAATAATCTGGTTGTTTTAGAGATCTGAGGTTATGTTTCTCATAGTATACACAAATATATATATATATATATATATATGCACACATACAGACATACCTCTTCCCTCTCCCCTGCACACATTGTACTTTATCTGTTAGAGACACTAATAAAATCCACTGAGACTTTAAAGGCAGTCAAGCAGTAATTAAAGGTCAACAGACAGCTGGCTGGATAGAAATAAGAAATTAAAAAATCATCAAGAAATGCACTGAACTCAAGGCAAGGTTTGAGGGGAAGCAGTAATAAACCTGTAACAGAACACAGACTTCACCAATTTATATTTTAAACCATCTGCTTTTTAAAATCATTATTAGTTTTATATTGAAGTAGTTTGAGAAGCTATTTAAGGAAGCAGTTTAAAATGCTCACTAGGAAAATGTATGTAAGGTCAGTTAAACTAGAATATAAATACATCTGCTTTTTTCTCTATTTAGATTTATGGAAGGAAACTGATTCTATGATTCTATAATTTGAAAATCAGTTGGTGCACAAAGGAAAAAAGACAGAACAGAGGCAGCACTAAAACTGGGTGGACAAAACACAAGATGGAAAAGAAACAGTTGACAGTGAGGTACACATATACAAGTCAGGTGAAAATTGGAACAAGAGGATGACAACTATAACTGAGGAGCTACATCACATCACTGCAGAACACTCAAAGATTGGAAGTCAAAGGGTGTTGTTCACATGACACCTTAGATAATAAAGCAATTTAGGACTACTCAGTGGTTGCACAAGAAAAACAGAACATCTGGTTATAGAATAGTTTTTCATCAACACCTTAACAGCCATTCTGGATCACGAACTTCAATTAACTAAAGCTACTGCAGAAGTTTTCTTTAAGAAAAATAAAAAGGTTTCTCTGTGCATCTCAAAGCAGATACCATTATTTGGGTCACTTAAGTAATCTTCTGAAACAGAACACTTGTCAGAGTAGATTTACAATACCTTTTTGATGGTGGCTTACAGTGCCAATGTGGGCAAAATACACTTAGTTTGATTGCACGTATCCTAACACTTGGGTGCAAATAATGTCTCTTCAGCCAAATGAAACTTCCTAAACTTGTGTCAGCATTAAGATGCTACATTCCACTGTGCACTGCACTGGCACAGCCCCACCTCGAGTGCTGTGTGCAGTTTTGGGTGCCTCAGCATAAGGAGGACATAAAACTAGTAGAGTGTCTCCAGAGGAGGGCAACCAAGACAGTGAAAGGCCCCAGGGCAAGACTCAGGAGGAGCAGCTGAGGTCACTTGTTCAGCTTGGAGAAGAGAAGGCTGAGGGGTGCCCTCATCGCAACCTACCCCTTCCTCATGTGTCTGTGGAGGGGAGGGACTGATCTCCTTTCTCTGGTGACCAGGGGTAGGATACTAAGAAATGGGATGAAGGTGCATGAGGGGAAGTTCAGATGGGACATTAGGAAACAGTTCTTCACTGAGAGGGTGGCCGGTCAGTGGAACAGGCCCCCAGGAACACGGTCACACCAGCAAGCCTGTCAGAGTTCAAGGACCATCCAGATGATGCTCTCAGTTTAGTTTTAGGTAGTCCTGTGAGGAGCAAGGAGTTGGACTCGATGATCCTTATGGGTCCCTTCCAACTTGAGATATTCTATGATTCTGTATTCCGGTACAAGTCATTTTCTCAGCCACTGGACTTTGAAGTGATAAACCAGACTTCAGTGGTAAACAAATGGAAACTATGCTTTTAATGGGAAACAAACCCAGCCTGGAATTTCAACAGTCCAAGAGAAAGCGGAGCTGATTGACGGGCCAATCAGAAGAACTATGTCACTAACGTATTCAACCCCACCTTACCCATGCGTTAAAACAAAGAGACAAAACTCTTGACCTTTTACATCAACAAATTAGTAAAAACTAATTTATGGCAGAGACACAAAACCTTATGACTCATCAAGTGCATTACTGATCAGAAATAAGTGTTTTCTTCTTGACTGAGAACATTACTGGAATAATTAAGTTCCAGAACGAATGCACTAAACATGACTAGCAGGTCAGCCTTACACTCTAAGAGCCAACATAAAGTTGTGGGAGACTCTGGAAGCAAATAGCTGCATGTCAATTCCCCAGCCTCCTCATGTGTCCCACCATTGAGCTGTCAATATCATTGCCTCCCAACACTGCCAAAGAACTGAAATTCCTTACAGGCATTCCCCGCTCTTCTAAAATACACGTGGAGCAACACAATCTTCCATTAGAATAGAGACATGTAACAAAAGAGCACAACAGGTCCTGAAGAATGAGGCAGCCTGGAAAGCTCAGGCTTGTTGCCCTCTTCACTGGAACTGTCACGCAATGAGCCTTAGATTATAACTTCCTGCACAACTCATGTTTGATGACACAGAGAGAACTATTCAGGAGGAAAAAAAAAGTAGTACATGGTTCTCAGACAAGAAGTAGTTCTGATCCAGCAAGAAGAAAGACTGTTTTAAAGGGAGTAATCTGGTTGGAAACACGCATTAATGAAGCGGTTTACTGGATTCTGAAGTACACAAATCTCAGAGGTCTGTTTATTTCTACTGTACAAAAGATGCATCACCTGTAAATATTTTCTATGTATTATATGAAAATCTTTTATCTATTGATTATTTTTAATTCAAAGGAAGAAGCAAGATCAGGAGGAGAATAACCGCAAAAGAGGTTGACACAGAAGGTTTAAGAACAATTAAAAACCACTTCATTTGCACCCTAATAACCTCATCTACTGTATCATGCCAAGCAACCGCACACGAACCACGTGCTGGCAGGGTACACAAGCTAAATGGGGTTTTGGTTGGTTGAGTTTTGGTTTTGTTTTGCTTTTAGTGTTAAAAGGTTTTCAAAGAGCCCTGTAGTGGGACACGAAATAGTTTACATTTACAGATTCACAGCAGTAGGCACTACTTCTGCATTATGGGGGGTTAGAACTAGATGATCTTAAGGTCCTTTCCAACCCTAACTATTCTATGATTCTATGATTAAATAAGAAATGTATTTCCACTGTTAGGTGGGGTTTTTATACAGCCCTATTGGCAAAACAAACTTGAAAAAATAGAAGTGTTCTTACGCTACGTATTCCTGTTCATCTTCTGCTTGAAAGTGGTATGTTCTGTTATCTGAAATGAATAAACATGTGTTTTCATTTGGCACATGATAAATTCTAAAATATCTACATATTTAGTAGGTTACTAAAACCTACTTGGCAACTAAAGCCTTGAAGAGCAACTGCTATTAAGCAGCAATATTAATACTTTATTCATAGCTGTGGAAAACAATTCTAAGCTAAAAAGGAGCAGAGAAATATGAAAGAGTGAATTTTGATTTATGTACATATTCCAAAAGTCTTATGTTTAGAAATACTAAGAAAAATAAGCATGAGTCAAATTGTGACCTTTCAAAGCAAAACCTTGTCACAAATGAACAGTATTTATATCACACACACACACAAAAAATGTTCTTTATTCATTTGTCTATTGAACCCATCTTCAAAACTAGAGATCTGCACACTCGTGAAGCACTGCATGTATCTGGACACAGGCCTGAATTTTGAACTATAGCCTTATTTATACTCAAATTACCTTGTAATGACATTTTTGGCAATGATGCATTTGGCAATAACAGTGCAAGAGAGCACTAAAATTGCTACATACGTGATATTAGATCAAAAGACTTCTTATCTTCAGCATTTGGCTTCACCTGGCAGGTCAGTAAGTTCAGTTTAGCTGGTTGCCTGTTGGACTAAAAAGAAAATTTATTTTACTTTTAAAATGTCTTGATTTAGGATTATTTTTCTTTTCTGGGAGCAGGTATGCATGATATTAAAGTGTGGGCATGCACACATGTACAACCTCAAAACGCTTGAGACCTGCACGGCTTTGTCTTACTTGGCCTGTCAGAATGGAGAGATCGCTAAATCTCAGCAAGCCTAAAATCTTCACGGCAACTCTTCCTGACTATTTGAGGGGGATCAAAGGAATAAACCTTAATTTAGAATATGCTAATCCTGAAGGTTTAATTTTATTTCATAAAACAATGGTAAAACTATTATGCAATTTTTCATTACAGCAAGTATTAAATCAACTGTTATAAGCTACAGCAGTGGGGAAAATAATTGAAGACATTTTAGAAGGCTAAAGAAGAGTTCACTTCATACAGCCCACAGGAAGTTTTGAAATTAACTTCAAACCAGCCTTTAGTCTCACTCTGATTAGTTGAACTATTTTAATTTCTTTTACAAAATGAATGTCTAAGCATTAACATGCTTTAAACAGTGAACCTCCTATGTAGGAATAAAACATCTATGACATCTATGTATGAGCTACTTATTGGTCTGCCAGTACAGCCAACAGCCAGAGCTGAGTTTTTAACACACCATCCGATCAAATCTACCCAGACTCCTTTGGCTGCATTGAGCAGCTCTCCAGTGGCTAGGAGAGGAGTCTACAGGATCTTGCTCTGAGGCAGGCAGCTACACTGTAGCCACTTCATTCTATTCAGCTGCATCTCATCCCGTATCTCAAAGGTGTAGCAAGAACACATGTACTGCTCCATGTAACCTGAAGTTCCCACTAGTGGTCAGCAGCAGACAACAGGAAAGAATTTAAGAGAGCAAGTACAACAATACTTCCATAAGTCTGTCTCCAACTTCTGACAATCCACAGAACTTCAACAGTCAGAAGCAGAAATGGCATATTTTTTGTAACAGTAGATTAACACCATCAGATTCACTGGGAAAGGATAATGTTAATTTATTATTTTAATTAAAAGGTATAAAAATAACTTACCGTTGCATGTGATATAGTAAGAATTCCATTTTTAACAGTGCACTTTCTTCTTTGCCACACTTTCCTTAACCTGCAGAAGAACATCAACAACAAATTCAGTAACCAGACATGACTTAAAAACACGTGTTAATCCCCATTAACATTTTGGGAAGATTAGCCTTGAGAAACAAACAGATGCAGTCAAATTTTTACTAAATGCCTCACCAAAAGCAACTTGGAGATTTATGACAGGTCTTAATCACTTTTCACAGTCTCATAAAGACAACAGCTTTCTTTGTAATCTGACTTTGGTTTTTATGATTGCTTGACATGCTTTTTGCATTTACCATACTAAACTCAGATCTGCGTTGTGATTTGAACTGTGAAATTCATGAGTACTTGTGGCATGTGCATTAGGAGCATTACACAGTAGCACCCACAGCAGAAAACAACAGAAATCAGTGCAGAAACATAGTCAGAATTCTCACTACGTACAATGTGCTCCACGAACATACCCATCACTCTTCTTTAAAAGATAACCTTTCTTCTCACTGCCATATTCCTTATTCCCCTGCAGCTGATGCATACTATATCCTCCTTGCCTGCTCTGTGAATCCTAAAAAAGGGAAAAATGCCATTAATGTTTCCTGATACGCACAGTAAGTTTTCCTAACCTTTAAGCCTGTTTTAATTGATTTCTCTTCTCTACCACAACTTTACAAATTCATAAAGATTTAAAGAGAGAACTCCTACTGCGTGTTTTACATCCATAGGAGAGCTTGCTTTTACATCACGTGATCCTGAACTGACTGCATGTTCAAGATTTACTTATTTCGTTAGCAGTTGAAGTGCAGTTTAAGTGCAAATATTCATCTCAAAATGTCTTTTTAGAAATTCAGGAATAGTGTATAGTCTTATAATGAAAGAGAAAAAGACTAAGATAAAATTTCAAAAAGAAAGCAACAGAATATAGCATGCATATGTACAGAAACATACACCTATAAACCAAAACCAAACACCGGGGCTTTTTATCCAATTAAAAATAGGCATCTAACTCATGAGTTTTAGTGCATGAAGTCAACTGAAATCTCTTTTGGCCTGATCTAGTGAAACAATTGAGTGAAATGGATTAACTTGTTATAAGCACATCAGCAAAAAAAAAAATCCCCCAAAGTTCATGAAAACATTGACTTACTCTCCTAGACTTCGATCACGAAAGGCAAAAGCAATAGAGGGAAGAGAAAGCAAATAATTTAAAACAAGAATTATTATTTTATTTAAAAAACATGTTCCTTGAACATAACTTGTATAGCCCCCATAGGTAGTAAAACAATGATTCCCCTTTCTAACATGACTAGCAAGAATGCAAAAGTCACTCTTTTAGGCACACTGGTGCCTTTTCTCATCTCGTAACAAAACATCGTAACAGAATCTGTGCTACCTTGTATACATGACATTGGCTTCAAAAAGCAACTAAGATGACCGAGAGAGAAATTCTTACTAAATGTCTTCCAGTCTTTAATACATTTAAACTGTCTAAAGGGATAACTAGATTGTAGTCTCTTCCAAACCAAAGCAAATTCTGAATTTCCATTGAAACAGATCAGGCCTAAAGCTAACTTTTAATTTCTTCAAGTGTATCTAAAAAGGTATCATTAAGGACACACTGATATGGTTTTAAATGTAGTTGTGACACATTTATCTGTAAAATGTCTGACAAAATCCCACAAAAAGATCAAAAGGAGCTCCATTACTCTCTTGGCAATAACCTCTTCTTACAATTACCACAACCAACACACACTGAAGTTGACTCCCTCCTCTTTCGTTCAGTGTCCTTACAACTGTTTTTTCATGCTGTAGCAAATTCATAATGGGAAAAGTGCTTTGGTAAAACTGGCAGCTGTTGTTGGAAACAGGATGGGGGCTGTGTGCAATGTGCCATGTTTACACCACCACAATAAGCAGCTCGTTTATTACAAGTGTATTTCAAACCTCCTATTTGTATTAGCATAGGAAAAAAGGAAATGAGATAAAATCCGTGTCCCAAAGAGTCTCTCAGATGGAGATTTGAGGAAAGAAATCAAAACATAAAGAATCAAGAAAACAGACATGAAACATGATTCTAAAGACTAGCTACATTCAACTTAAAGCTGTTAACTCACATTTGTACCAATAAATCGCATACAAAAATAGCGAATAGAAGCCTGTATTAAAGGTCTCATTTCCTTCAATATTTCAGCTTCTTAGACATATAAGCATTCTTCAACACGCAATATAAATACTTCACACAATTAAAATACAAGTGCTCCTTAAACTATTTGCCACAAAAGCTTTAAACCATAGTAATTTTACAAAGTCAGGCAATTCTTGCACAGTGTAACAGAAACTGCCCTGAATTAATTCCAAGACAGTAGACAGTGGCCACAAGAGACACTGCAGATAACAGAGCCACAGTAAATTGTACTTCCCACAGCAAAGCTACAGCTCTAGCACTTCAGCACAACCCAAGATTCAGACACTGTCAAGATGTGCTTTTCCAAGAGCCAGGTAATTGCAGAGATTTCACCGATGGAGAGACAGGTCTGCAGCATAATGTGTACGAGCATTACAGATGTCCATAACGCTAAAGAAACACCTTGAACGCATGCAAGAGTGAAACAAGAGTGAAACAAGATGCAAGAGTTGCATTATGAGACCTTGAGCAAGAGTACGGTTTTGGTACATTTTTTCCCTCACTGAAAGTGTGGGTCTGAAGAGTAGCTTTTCCATATATACTATTCCAAATTCAACAATATCCTAAATGCTTTAATAGATTTAACAGCTATACAGGAATCTTTTGTCACATGGGGCAGCAGGGCAGCCTGGGATGGGCAGGAACTCTCACTTATCTGATGGCAACTCCAAAGAGGTTAAAGGTGGCAGAATTTACAGTTTGGACAGGAATCACTACTTTCAACTTTCTTCTCCTGCACAATGGCTCAAAAGAAACTTAAAGCTATATACCACTAGGGCCTCAATTTTAGTATTTCAAACTGTTTCCCTGCCAAAGTAATTTTTGATGAGTACTTCTGAATCCTTACAAATCCACCAGAGAAAATCCCATTCATTTCATATTCTTCAACATTTCCATTAAGCCATAAATTTTCCAACTGTGAGATTATAATGCACTAATATAAGGGGGAAAATGTATTCATAATCACAACCGACCAGGCCATCTGCCACAGTAATAAAGCCCAGCTTTACATACTTGAAGATTCAGATATGCACAGCGATGGAGAGGTGACTGGTAAAATTCAAGCCCTGTGTCTTCAAGTTTCCTTGTCACTTAATGAAGGAGTAATGACTACTGGCATGCTATTTCAGGATTTAAACATTGAACACCTAAGCAACAGAGACATTGTTTTATCAGCCTCCTCAGAATGATGCCAGCATCATTCTGTTCTGACTCATGTAAGTCCTCACGTTGATTTTGAAACAGACACTTGAACATCCATGTGATCAAATGGTTATTTTATACAAATAGAAGATTCTTTCCTCACAGCAGATTTCTCTCTCTCCCCTGATTCGCTTGAATATCTGAGAATCACAATATTGTTCTTTTTCCTTCTAGAACACATTTCAATTCCCTTCAAGCCAACCACTTTATGACTTTTTTATATAGATAACATACATGTAAACACTGTTTTTTAGGAGTCTTAGGATTTGTCTACACTATTAGAAAAGTTGCACAGTTTATTCTGGTGATGCCTCTGAAGCTACTTTATTACAAAACTAAATGAAATGCAATTATTCTGTTTTGGTGGAAGGTAACCTCATTTAACACAAAAATTAAACAAGGCAAATTGTGAAACTCAGATACATGTTGTATTTAATTATTCTACCTCATAATACTCTGTGAGCAACTTTTGAAACTTGACTTTTCCTGTATGCAGCCATGTATGTGCAATACACAGCACTTAAGAACAACCCACTTGTCCTACTTCATTTCCAAGAGCTGGCTGATTACACAATGGCTTGAACTTACTCTACAAAGGAGAGAAGGAGGTGTTTTTCTTTGCTTCCCAGATAATCAGCTGGTGGAAGAAAAAGGTACATGAGAACAGAGCAGGTCTTGTTCCTCTGTGTGTTGGGAACTGATCCATAAAAACACTTTAGAATGCTCCTGCAATCTAATGTTCTCTGTTCAACTTTTGGGGCTGAGGATGGAGACTGTGCATGAGTTACATATAGAGAGATTTAGATACGGGGGAGACTACACATGTAACGTGTGTATGGGAAGCTCTGCAAGTATTATGGAAGAGGTCTAGTAGGTTCATGTGCACAGATGAAAGGAAAAGAAGTACCAAGCAGAGCACTGGGAAAGACCATAGAATATGAGATATGGGGAAACTGAATACTAGGTAGAACTGGCAGGTCTACAATAAATTGGGATCTGTTCAAAGGTGCTCTGTAATGCTCCTGTCATCATTTGTGACATCAAAGAAACTCTGGAAACCATGTACAGTACATGGTAAGGCTGTGTTGTCCTTCAGAACAAAGTGATTGAAGGTGCAGGGAAAGGAGCAACCTTCTGGCTAAGGTTTATTTGCTATATAATGTACGTCTACATTACAAAAGCACACACAGGCAAGTATTCAAAATAAAAAAACCCACCACCACCACACTATAAGGAATAACTTAATCATTCCTTATTAATTGTGATTCCACCTTCAAGCCATTTATCTACACGCAGTAGCCATAATCACAATGTGCTACCTACAAAATTACATGGAAGCCCATAAAAATACTTACTTGCCCCAGTTACTAGAGTCCTACTTATGAAGAAATTCCAAAAGAATTCCAGGAAAGTAAAGATTTAGTAAGCTTCACACCACATAAGGAAGATAAATGAAAACTACTTTTAAGAGTACCTTTAGTATTACATATACTGGAGAAATCAGTGTAGCTTTTGTACATAATAGTTATGTCTTAAAAATGTCCTGGAGTTCTCTGAAGGATTTAGTAAGAGATATCAGACTTATACAGTGTACCTGGACTTTCAATGGGCACTTAGTGTTCCTTATGGAAGGTAAAGAATTACATTGCTACAGGACAAGAGGAAAAGTCCTCAGATGACCTAAGAAGCAGGAAACAAACAACTGAGTTTCACAGAAAGCTGTGCCAGCACATCTGGTGTCTAACACTAAAACAATTTGGAAAAGGGAACAGTAAACTGCCAAAGTTTGCTACATGGTATTAAATTATTCAGGCTACCCAAGAAAGGCTGACTGAAGAATTTCTCAAAGACCTCAAGACAGTAAACTTGACAATAAACGGCAAGTGAAGATCAGCATAAACAAATGCAAAGTGATGCAGAGGGGAAAAATAAGATACTGTGAGTTGACTATTAACATTCAAAACCAGGATGATATGGTTATAGCTTTACAGCTGATTAAATGACAAACACCACCTTCTCTGCACTAAGCACTGGTCAAAAAGCAGTCAACTTTAGGACTTTTCCATACCACTTCGAGCAATGGTGGGTAAGACACAGCTGCAACAGAAGCTGACCATATAACTGCTTCAAAAAGCAACTGCACACATTCAAAGAGAGCAAACCCATAGGGTGGTGTAGAGAGTGCAAAGACACTCAGACTACTAATGGGAGGGTATTTTGGGGCATATCATCGTTTAACACCCTGCATCTTACTCTAAACATCCATTATTGATTGCTGTTGGAAACTTGGCTGAGGCAGTATCTCTGGTTGTAAATTACATTTTTATGTATATTTGGTATGAGCAGTGCTGTCCAGTCAGATATGTGGATGATCATATATATGCAGGAGAATGGTATCTGTTTAATTATTATTAAATATGAATTATTATTATAAATATTTAACAAGCTGAGTAGACACCTAGCAACTCCTAATGCTTGCTTACCCTATGTTCAGTTTTCTCTTAGGTAATCTCTTCCTAAAGAAAAGCCCCCACTCCCCAACTCTCAGCTTTACCATGGGATATTCAGTATTTCTGACTCTCAGACATTATGATTTGGAAAAAGTCAGTGTTATCTCTTGTTAAAGCTGTCATGTACATTATATCTATCTCGTAGTTCAAAGAGTATTCTAGTACCTCTACAATGCACATTGCATGTTGCCCCTTCACTCTGATACCAGTGCAACTCATAATGCACTTTCAACTGCCCTGCCTCAGCCATTACAATCTGGTTAACACATAGATTTTCTTCCTTACAATACAGTATTAGCAGAATGGGTTTGGAAAGGAGAACAACAGCACAAAATCCAGGTGAGTTGGCAGATGAATAGTAATACAGAAACCACACATAAAGGTTAAGCCTCCAGTTCTTCCTCTGGCTTGCTCAGGATCACCTAGGTCAGGAAAATCCTGGACACAATCTGGCTGGAGGATGGCAGGACAGAACAAAGAAGTGTGCATCCCACACCTTTCCATTTTTCCCTGAACACTCATTCCTTATCATGGTCAAGGACAAGATACTGGGCTAGATGAAGAATTTATCTATCTGACCCATTACAACTGTTCTTGTAGTACATTAAAAAAGTGCACCAAAATTACACCAGAAAAAGGAGTAATTTATTTTCATACATAAAATGGAAACAGAAAATTAATCTAAAACTATTGCTGATATGTAGCTGGACATTCCAAGTACTAGCTTTGCCATGATGTTCAAAGCCCCACTCTTCTGAACAGGTAACTACACAAACTAATTTCTGAATACATAATTCATAAATTGACATGATCTCTGAGAAGAACATGTCTAAATGATTTACCTCCTTCTGATCAAGCTGCAGAGAAGATTTTATCAAATCACGAAGGGCAGTAAGCTGTTTCTTTTCTTCATCCTGTGTCTGCTTTATCTATGGAAAGAGATTGCCATTACATGCTTTCTGGCTGCATCTTTTATTTCTTTTATGTATTCCAATGTACTGGCTTAGATGTCCTAAACAATCAGCTCAATTGCTCTGTGCTTCTGTAATATCTGAGTTTATTTTCATGGACTAGTCCATTCTTCTGTGTTCCTGTTCTATGCACACATGACTTGAAAAGCAAACTAAAACGAAGGTACTCTGCATGCTGTGTTCTGTGATGCTTTAATGGCTCACTATATCTAATGCAACTAAATTAGTTTCTGAAATATTAATTTAATAAATCCAATAAGCTTGACAGATGATTTAAAGAATTAAAATACAGTTTAATTTAGCCACAAACTACAATAGCAAATGGGATTATTACAATTCTGAATAGAGAATACAAAAGCACTTGGGTGACAAGCAGGTTTTGATTCCACATTATTACTTGCTTTGAATGAACATCACAAGTTAATTCATTTAAAAATGGTGGTGCTATCATCAAGCACTTTGGGTTTGAGAAATTTTAGAGGTAGCTAAAATTGGTGCTAACAATGTAATCCAATTCAGACTCTGAATTAGTTTTATTTTAATGCAACATTAAATTAGTAATAGAACGAAAGTTGCTTTCCCTAATAACTGTAAAAGCAGAATACAAAGCTTAGGATAGACAAGATGTTTTTTTCCTCAGTCTAGCTACATTCAAAGACCACACTTTGCATTTATAAAATACAAATGAGATATACACCCTTACAGTCATATCTAAAATGTATTTATATAAGCAAAATATTTCCATTTTCAGACATGAAACTACTTATAAGTAAACTTACATTATACAGGTCAGCAGCCAACTTTTCAATGTATTGTTTAAGTTTATCAGCTGTTTTCAAGCCATCTTGGAAGAAACTATAATGGAAAATACCTGTGATTTATCAGGAATACATATAATTCACAACACAAAGTAGATTGTCTTGGGGATCAAAATCAGAAAAAACAGTAACATATGAGGTTCCTCCATGTTCAGAAACAAACCAACAGCAAACCCCCAACAAAACCAGCCTTCCTAGTCATTTTAAACTACAACATCTTTCAGGAGTGGAGATACACCATTGTGACTTTAACAAATATCAAATTAGAGAGAATATAGCTAAGATTATTTCTATCACTGCTAGTCAGCATGTTTCCCCTTTGTAATTTCTAAAACCTTCTTCCTGTATTTAACTTTAGTTCCTGTACGTTTGCCTCTGTGGTTCTACTGATGACAAGGTTGTATCTCACCAGTTTCATATCAAGAAATTTCAAAGAAACTACTGGCTGTCACAGTGGCTTTAAATATTACATAAACTCTAAAAACTATTAAATAGAATAAAAAAGCTATTTCTAAAATTACATTCTAGATCTATGCCTCATGAACTAAAATTAATCCAACAAGTGAGGCTTTCCCTTGGCCCCTTTCTCTGTCGCTCCCCTGACCCAGTCACTTACTCTCACACTCTCTACTGAGTGGCTGTGTTAAGATGAAGGTGAAGGCACCTGGCAGATTAAGATTATGATATAAAAATTCCTGATGCAACTAAAACAAATTCAAACCAAACTGAAACAAGCACTCATGTAAAAAAGGAAACTGTAAGTAAAGTTTCAAAGCCTTGTACTTACTTGCATTGTGCATGATAATACTTAATCAGGTTCTGCAGAAGGTCCACACCTTTTTTGGTCTTGATTTCATTAACCTTAATAAGATACTGTAGATACAGTGAAAAACGTGTTGATAATTATGCCCCACAACCTTCAACAGTTTTTAATCAATAAAGCATCATGTGCTCAATGAATTCATTATCTCTGGGTTTAAGCTGGGTGCTCACTCGTAAGCCACCAGTCCACCACGGTTTAACAGTTCATTTGGCCATTCCTAAAAATTTCAAACACTCCAAAACGTAAAACAAATTCAGGAATAAGTTTTATCTTTTACAATTGTCTTAAGACGTCCCTTTTTTAATGCTACTGCAGTAATTACTGACATATTCTAAAAATGTAAATACTATGCAATAAAGTACTCACAACTAAAACACCATAAAGAGAACTGCTAATATAAAAAGCAGCTTTATGGAACTAATGTATCACTATCATTTATAACTTCATTAGAAATTTTAAAAGGCTTCAGAAAGCATGTTGGAAGAAAGAGATCAAAAATACTTCCTGAACTGCTCAACCATAAGCCTTAAAAAATAAGAAATATTTCTCTAGCAGTTTTAGCACATGACTTTAGCATAATAATCTAATAAGAAAGGAATAAAACAAAAGGAAGCCAGGTTTTGTAGAGCTGCTAAAATAATCATCTTTATATTGCTGTACTGTGTGACCTTGAGATCATGGCCTCCCTCCACCCCTTTTAAACAACAAATTAAGATTTCACCCCCATCAAGTAAAAGGCCCACAAGTTACTTTCAAATTATGGTGTCATAATTAAAAGCCGAAACGTGTTTCTTACTTCACACATCTGTAGCTGAAATAGCCGCCTTTCCTTCTCCATTTCCTCTGCTATCTCAGCTCCTGTTATTTCAGTTCTTATCATCCCATGCTGTTTCGCGTGTTCTCTTTTCTCCTTTTCAATTTTTGTACTGAAATTTTAATTAGAAAACACCTTAAAGTATTTCTACTATCATGTGATCTTGTATTATTTAGGAGAAAAATTACCAAGAAATATTACAAAAGCCATTCTGAAGTTAAGTTCCCCTATGATACCAAATCCTATATATACATATTTTTATGTATATTTATCTATCTATATATGAATGAAATAAGTGTCTAGAAGTAATGGAGTCATGAAGCTGTCCTTCCCTCCTTCAATTCTTTTCTCTAGTTTGTGTCCTACTTGGTGGGGAAGGGGGGAACAAATTGAAATCTCACTCTTTCTATATGATGTGCTCCATAGCTTTCATCTCTATATACTGTAGTGTAAAGCATACATACAAGAAACTATTGATTTGTCAGGAAAATGGCAGAATAACAATCAAATACATTTCATGCTCACAAGGCAGGAATTAAGAAAACCAGTAAGGCAGAAAACAAAGTTCACCACCAGTGGTAAATGACACGACTTCCAGTCATTACATTTTCAGAGGAAGCCAAATTCTGAAATAGGGAAATGCAAACGTGGAACTAAGAGGCAACCCTGAGACTTCAGTTAGAGCTTTGCACTGTAGCTCTCCTTACGTATCTAGGATTAATAGGATTAAGTCATTTGGTTTGGAACTCTGCTTTTCTCTAATTAAGACAGGCATGATGTCTGCACGTAGAACAAAGCACTTTTCAGCACTGAGCCTCTGAATTTAACTTGTTACTTGGTCTGGAACAAATCCTGGGAAATGGGGTTCTCCGAGAACATTAAGGGATGTCTCCTTCTTGGTCTTAGGAAGCCTAAGTGAAAGTTACTCACAAGAGGGGAAAAAATAAAACAGCAACAAGACAACAGGCATCTTTCTGTAAACTTTTCAATTTCTGAACAGAATCCCACACATGATTCCATGTTTTGAGTCTGTATGAGACACCTGTGTCCCCCAGCTTCTGTTTATTGGCGTTTGGTATAAACAGGCTGCAAAGATATCCCTGATTTTACATATAGCAATTTGAGAGGCAGAAATAATTTCTTGTTTTAAACCAGTTTGCTGTCTATAAAAACAAATCAATAATTTTGCAAAATATGCAGTATCTGCAAGAACTAAACTAAAAAGGAACAAACCCACTAATTCTGCATGTAAACCTGAATGCTCAGCTGAGTACAATGATGCAGTTTTGATATAGGAATCTCCTTTTTGCCTTAGAGTAGTAATAACCTCATTCCCAGTACAGCTGTTCACAAGGTTTTAGCATAGTAATAAATTTTGAAGGCAAGGGTCACTATAAGTAGGTAAGAAACATTTATTACACTGATAATAAATATTGCAGCACTTCTTAGTGGCCTGACTTTTTCTTTCATAGCTTTTTTTCCCCTTCCTGGTTAAAGATAAATGAAACAAAGCTAATAAGAGGATTAAAAAGAGGAATAAATGAAAGGATAGGAAATATGAATTAACTCCTGAGGGCTCTTGAATTCTGATAAAGCAACTGTCCATCACTTCCTTGAGAGCATTCTGAACCATTCCACTAAGTTCTGCAACTCTGACACTACTGGTTTCCAACCTTCTCTTTTTATAAATCACTCTTTACCCAGAAAAGACAGGTTTTACAGCAAGAAAATAATTTTTAAAGCCACAGGTACTTCAGAAGTCACACCAACTCCACTCAAATTCTTGTCTCAGAACAATGCAGTTCTGCAATACAGGACAACATATAAATCTCACTTTTTACTATCGATAGATTTTATGTATATGGTTATAAAATGTGTAAGTGCCACCAGAAATCTCCACAATTCATTTACCATGCTCAGTATCCATGCATCAAGTATATTCTTTACTACTTCACAAAGATAAAGTAGCTTCTATTAGTGAAGAGGAGAGATCCACAGAGAGTTGCCTTGCTCATATTCACATTTACATCCACGGATACAGTACACAGTTTGGGAAGACAAAGGAATGGAGAGGAAGGGGAGAGGAAAAGGGAGAAAAATACTTACAATTTGGTTTCATAATCCTTCCAGGCTTTGTCAAAAGGCTTTTTGAGGTCCTTGGGAAACAGAAAATTCACATAGAACATTTTTAAAGCTTTGCCCTTATATTTTAAGATATTAAGTTATAAACAGCAACAAAAAAATACTGTTTTCTTTTAAAACTTTTCAGGCAGCAGTTGGAAAAAAATGCTATTTTTGAATCTCGTAAAGCACTGCTTCCCTGTGCATGTTAAGACATGAATTTACAATCAAAATCTAAGGAAGCATCAGAGTCCAGGCAATTCTGAATTAGCTCTTTGGATTACATATGGAATATGAATGGATGCCAATGTAAGAAACAGTCTCCTGGGTGAATGAAAAAGAAAGCCACAAGACAGCTGAACCTGACAACATATCCCTAAATAAAAAGTTAGGTTTCAACACTTACCCCTTTAACGCCTTTAAGGTCTCCTTTTAAGAGAGAGTCCAAAGTGAAAATAACATTGTGGCTTAAACCCTGGAGCTAAAGAGAAAAACATTATACTGTTATAATTAAGGAAGACGTACTGTGATCAAACAAGAAAGATTTATTGTGATCTTATCAAACTTCAAGAGTGAAGTTGCAATCACCCCAAGATGTCTGAATTAGTAGTAAATTCCAGTCTAGGAAGAATTACTAAACATTCACTCGCATCAGACACAGAAGCATTATGATTAATCTTTATTATATAGGGTGATATTTTAAAAACAGCATATAAGCAAAGTTGTGAAAGTACTTCAAGGTAATCTCCAGTCTTGAAGCAAACATTTGAACACTGCTTAACTATTTAGGAAGCAAATTAGGTTTTGGAACGAATGTTTCTTAAGCAAGGACCTATTGTGCCACAGGCAGACAACACGCAAGGTGCATGTTAATTCAGCCTCAAGCAAAAGGAGCCAAGAGAGTCACCAGCTCTTTGATTATTCACAGCTGGTTGGGAAGACTGTTCCTTTCCCTGTCCAGTGTGGACTCTCCAGAGTTTAAATTTCACCCCGTTAAGTCCATGCCTGTTCAGTCACATATCTGTGGATATGTACCATTCATCTTTGCCAACGTGAGTTTAGGAAACGCCACTGCTGTGAGCTTATCTGAGCACATATGGGGCATATGGCTCTCCAAGGGTCATGATCACAGCAAACAGAGGTGTATCAGTACTATCCCAGTCTAGCGAGAAGTCTGTTGCATCTCCTGCTTCATCCCTCTCTCCGTTTCTCCCCTAAAATACTCCATGAATTCTCCCCTTCCTCGTTAAGGAAGGACAGGGAGAACGACTGGAAGGCTGCAAGACACCACATCATCTGCTTGGGAACCAAAGCAGTAAGGAAGTGTTACATTAGTGTTTCTAAGCCACCATATGTACGCCCCAGCTTCCTTCTTCTATAAGGTCTTCTGAGTACATTTTAGTTTATGAAACTGATTTTTGAGGGACTTTTGTGAAAGACGATTTCCACAGATGAGAGTATCAAAATGACCACTCAAACAGGTCCTCCAGGTGTAACATTCCAGCCACAAACTCCTTGTATATTCGAAAGGCATGTACAAAAAAATCCAATATTCCATTTTCAGAAGTGGCATTATGCAATTTTAAATACATGTACATAAAAAATTCTCCTTAATTGCAACAACATAATTAATGCTCAAATATTGATTTTGAAAAAGCAACTTGATCACTTTTAGTGATTAAAACCCCTAAAGTTTTTTTCTTCCCCTGGCATCACTAAAGGAGTTTCTAGCAGACAGTCTAAGCTTTGATTCTCTTTGAAGAGCTAGGTTCTGTTTTTCTCTCTCCTGAGCTTAAACGCTTGCACATGACCCCCACACAACATTATTTCACAATGGAAATTAAAAGGGGAATTTTAGAGGATTATGCCTTTTTGCAATTTGCCCTCTGTTGTTTTTTTTAATCCCAATCCATCACAACCAACTCCTCCATCACAATGTCAATTTTGTCAGAGAAAGAAAAGAATTATGAGTGTTAAGCCAACAAGCAATTAAGGTTTCTTCTTTATCAATACACAGCTGGAAGAATAGCTATTGTTGTTTTCATTCTCAACCATTTTAATCAGTTTCCATTTAAGCTAAACTGAAGATCATCTCTCAAATGTGAATTGTGAAAAACAATATTCAGAAGGCATGAACAACACTAAATTACTCCAGCTTTTTTGTTTTCCCCAGTATATCCATTAAGGACAACCAATTCAAGCCATTAATACTTGGTTTGAAATTACTGAACAGTAGCCAGCTAGTCAAAATAAAAAACCCCATCTAAATAATAGTATCTTACTTCAATATGGCAAGATTTTAGAATCATTTATTACATTGTTGAAGACTTCATAAAACAGTAGCTGAAATGAATTGGAAACATGACTGATAAAGCAAAACAGTCTCATATCTAGAGCAAAATAAAGGAAAAACCTTTAACAGATGGAAACGCATATGATAATTTGGCAAGGAGGGATGTGAACAGAAGATAATTGGTGCACAAAGATTAGCTGAGGACATTTAGAGAAATGGGAGGTGGGTAAAACAGGACTTAAACACTCGGAAAAAGACAAGCACCATGCAGAATTTCAGAAGTAACTTGTAAGTGCTGCAAATGTTCTTCCAAAACCTCTTCTAGATCAATTTAAAGATGCTGACACAATCATTTTCACATATGCAATTTTCAAACAGCTTTTTAATGCACTATTACAACGAATTACTGCATGAAGAATGAAGCATGGAACGGGAAAGGAGGTGGGACACCCCAAAACTGCTGAAAACCTAGACCAGTGTTGACAATGGAAAAAAACCTAATGAAGTTTGAAAGTCCTCACCAGGTTCTTCAGCAGCGTTGATAACTCTTTAGTAAGCGTGGAAAACTTTACAAAAGCTGTGCCAAGATCTGGATTATCCCGACTTAAAAAATTACTTCCGAATTTATCTAATACTTGTGCATAGTTTTCTTCGTTTTGGACATGATCTGAAAAGAAGAAAGAAAAGACAAACATTTTTTCTTGTAGACAGTCAATTGCTATTTGAAGTTTACACATTGCAATAAAGTGACAAAGCAACAAACAGCACTTTCAAAAGAGCCACAAGTTGATGCATTTACTGAAAATTAGCATTTTAATATTGAAAAGAATTTAGCAACAGGCAGATACACGCTGCTTCTAAATGAGCAACTTGAATTTGTAGTACATCGAGGATAAAAGCTCTCTAGTTCTCACTAAAGCAATAAGATCAAGGAATTCATAACTGTCTACTGCAATGCAAACTACTTTTAATTGAAAGGTAGGACACTTACAGAACAGAAAAAGTCAATAGTATCAGATATAAAAGGAGACCAAGTCTGAATGTGACTGCAAGTTTAAAGAAGAAACATCTTCCAGACAAATATTCCCTTTGCAAGTGCTTTGTAAACCAGAGCGACTCCACAGGATGCAACGTGTTGTGGTACATCACCAAAGACTGGGTTCCATATATTTAATGGCAAACTGCATGCACAGAGAGGTCAGAACAAGATGATGAAATTGAAGTCAGAGAAAGGAAGTAAAATCCTTGACTAAAGGATGAAGGAAGTTCTGAATTAGAAACCACTGTGCCCAAAATGCTTTTCCTGCTTCGATTAATTTCCTTTCTGGCATCTGTTTGCATATTTTTTCTTACTTCAGTTTAGTACTTTTAAACAGCAAGTTGGCCACTGCAGGCCCTGGGGACACACCTCTATCTCTTGGAGGAATATTGGTGGCATTAATTAAATTAACATTTTACTTTAATGAGTTTCCTTGTCTTACTATGGTTTTTTTTCTGTCAGCCACAAATACAAAACCACAGAGCTACTGAACTAGAAGATCTGTGTAATGACATGCAGAAGGAAGAGAAAATAGTTGCCAATAGGTAACCATGTTTCTCCCACAAGCCCACAAGTTTTATATTCTTCAAGCTGTCACATTGCCCGAGAGCATTTGGATTACAAGGAAGGTGAGGGGAGAAAATGGAAGACATAAATTTCAAACAAGGCTTGTGGATAATGTCCCACAATACATGAATCTACTTTGACAATAAACAAGAGCTGATGCAGAGTTAAACATCCACCCGTTCAAGGTATTATGGGTACTCAAAACAACAGTGCACTGAAGCTCCAACAAAAACTAGTGAAAACCTGTAAGATGACAAAAAATATTCAAAAAAATATTCACAATATTTATCCAAAACAAAGCCCAAACCCCCCACATCAGACAAGTTACATTCTAAACAGACATAACACTGAGGTTTTCAAAAGGCCAAATATTTAATCATATGTTAATATGGAACTGTAATTCAAGCAGTATGTTTTCAAATGAAAGTGTTCAAAAAGCATCCGGTTTTAATCCAGTGGTTTAGCATTAAACCCAAGGAAACCACTCTAGAATAATAAAATCTACATTTTGTTTCGATGTAAAAGCTGTTGCATAAATATACGCAGAAGACTATCTAAGAAGGAGCTTTGACTTATGCAGTCCTGAGATAATAAAGCTCAAATGTACCCCAGAGTGCTGAAGGAAAAGGAAGGTTAAATGGAAGAAGGTTGTGAAGAAGTCTGCTAGACCATGAAACCCCTGTCCTTGCCTGTGAAGCCCTTCTAACCCCACAATGACTCTCAGCATTTTGATTTTAAGCACTGTGTTGTTTCACAGAGTATTTTCAAAAGTACTTTCGTAGACTGAAAAGGAGCTGAAGACAAGGACTGTTTCCTTTATCTGTGGAAAGGCAAAAAAATTCCCCATCAGAAAGACGAAGCAGCTCATTGGCCTGGAACAACATATAGGAAATTCTCAAGAATCCCAGATTGCAAATCACCTAAATCTAGACATGAGGCTTTGATTATGATAGAAAAGGAATATTCTGTAGTTCCACACACACAGACACCACATTCAAGTACTGTATAAGAATAATAGATTTCCATTTGTTACATAGCTCTGAGTGTAAATCTTGTCGAAGAAGAGGAAACATTTACTGTTGAAGAGGTAAGGTAGTTCCCTACTTGACCTTAAAGGCAGATGGATGAAAAACTCAATCAGCAACGTAGCCTGTGCTAAAATGCAACATGTGTAAACCCACATGCTTAGAGCAAAGAGCATTAAACTCCCTGTAGGTGCCTCATGCAAACACAGAAATGTTGGTGTCCTAATAGAATTTCCTTTGCAAAGAGAAACCTGCAGCATCCTTAGATACAAGTACTGTAGGAAGGACTCTAATAACCCTAGAGAGCAAGGCATGATACTGACAGCAGTACATATATAAGATAATGTTTGTCTTCTAGAACCAGCTCGTATCTTCTCCAATATCATAAACAAAGCTCAGTACCATGATGAAAACAAAACAACTTCCACAGAGAGACACCCTCCTCCTTTAGCAGCTCCCTGAGAGATGCCAGGATCGTGGACAATTAAGGATGGGCTCTGCACCCACTCCCTTCAGAAGGAATACAGGCAAGGACAGGGGCTTCATTAATCATCCCCTACTCAACAGGATCTGGTAGGGCATGCAGTACATGAGCCCATGGTGAGGACCTCACTACAGAACAGCAACAGGCTGGACCATATACACCCGTGGTATTTTCTGAGCTGAAAGATCATACAATCACAGAATGGTTTGGGTTGTAAAGGACCTGAGAGACAATCCAGTTGAATCCCCTGCCACAGGCAGGGACACCTTCTGCTAGGCCAGGCTGCTCATAGCCCCATCCAACCTGGCTTTGAACACTGCCACAACTTCTCAGTGCAACCTGTCCTAGTGCCTCATCACCCTCACAGTGAAGAATTTCCTTACATATGCATCTTCCCCACAGTCCACACTGTCACCTCTGAGAAACACCCAGCACAGCATTTACCTTTGCTTAGAGACAACCCCGGTAGGGTGCAGTGCACAGCAGTGTTGTGGCATCCCATACTTCTGTGCTTTAGCCTGTATATTGTTAAGGGGAAATCATACAAACACATCTGATGCAAGTCCAAGCCAGTAAGGAAGAACACAGCCACAGCAGCTTACTGCAGCCTGCTGCTGCACAGCACTATTCACCAGAAGCAGGGAGCACACTTACACTGAGCACCAGGCACTGCCAAGCCCCAGGGCTTAAGGACTCCCAGGAGTGAATCCCACCTTGTTCTGCTGCCCCAGGCAGTCACCTGGAACTGTCTATGCCTAAAGTCAACTTGTAGTGAGCTTTTTCCCAGGACAAAGATAGAAAGCTTAGATAGGATTCCCAAGGCACACAAAGAATATGTACTCTTTCACTGAAAGCCACAACATTAAGAGCTATGTTTATTTCCCATTCAAAAATTACCAGAATTTAGTATTTGCTTCTGAACCCAGTGAAACTCATGTCTACTTGTGCATATTAAGGAAATTGAAGAACAAATATTGTTGAGAGGTTAAAGAACGGCCTTTATACACTAGAGCACTAAAATTGAAGTCTTAAAAGTCTCCTTTAAAGGTTTTGTTCAGATATACTAACCTGCAAGCATTGAATAATAATAAATAATATAATTATTATTATT